GAATAACAGAGTTGGAAGCAGATCGCTTTGAGTTTTTTTCTTAATTGAATACAGATTTTAAATTTAAAGGAATCTTTTGCTTTTTGTTATCCATCATATAGGATGCAACTTTTCTATCTGGAGATCCCATTAACTTCATGACGGGATGACACAAGTTAGTTGAGGATTTAATCCATTGAAAGAGTACATGTTTGGCTAGAGTAGCACAAAATCCTACATTTAGGCATTTGCAAAAGTTTTTTGTTATTATTAATCTTGAGGATAAATTGGAGAATGTACTTAATTGGAAACTTTTTTTTGTGTGTATTGTGCCTATGTATGTGTTTAAAATGACTCCTCAAAAAAATAAAACATGTGGTATTCTTAATGTCAGATAAAACCCTTCGATTTATTCTGCTTTTAAAAAATTATCAAGAAATTTGTGCCATGTGAGTGGCAACTTTGGGTTTGCTGGAGGAAAGATGGCTATTAAAAGATGCCACCAGTGTCCTTCCATGCAGGACCTCAATAACATTGGGCATTGCGTGAGAATCAATGATCTCCACATTTCTTTCCAATTGTTCAATGATTCTGTCTTCAAAATTGACTTGGAAGACACATTGGAAAATACAGTACATCTAGTCTAGTTAAGACTCACCCTTCTCTACTGAGGATTATGCCCCATGATTCTGTTTGGAAGTATTATTGTGCTACTGGTCTTTTGAATACTGGGGGAAAGGAACAACTATGATCGTTACAACAGGTATTATATTTTATCATTATATTTGTGCTACTACTCAAGGTGTTTAAATTCCAATGCCTACTAATTTGTTTTGAAGTTTTACATTGATAAATTAGGAGATGTTGAGCTTCTGGTTTTTTTCTGGTGTTTCATTCACATTCTTTAATTTAAAAAAAAAAACAACCAAGTTAAATCTTTAAGAAAAGCATTTGAATAGATGTTTCAATTCCAAATTTTGATTCGTGCCAATACGGCTGTTTCAAAGTAATTGGGGTAGGGATTGTGGTCTAAGGATTGTGGTCTAAGTTAAGCTGAATTTGAACACTTCCTCTTAGGTATTTGAGTGGGATTGAATGAAATCAGTTAATAAATTTATATTTGATGGTTGTTTGGGAAAATAAAGGAGCACAAGAGTTCAATCAGCCCCCCCCCCCCCCCCGTCTAAGCCATATTACTTTAGAAGAGGTTCTTCAAAAGCCATGAAGATTTCTTCACAATATGGTCCTCATTTTCTCATTGACCTGCCCCCTCCGCCCCCCGCCCCCCCAAAATCAATCAAATTTACTACTTGAGAAAGGGGACTTTTGTCCTGTCACTTCAAAGTAAAACCTTTCTATCTATCTTTAATTTTATTCTTCTGTGCAGAACCCTTCTACAAGACTTGAAAATTTGGCAAATCCCATTGCTTAGTTGAGGTTTTCTAGATGCAATTTTTATATACTCTGAAAACAATCTGCTATTTCTGTGGTTTTTTTTTTTTTTTTTTTAAAAAAAGCAGTTCCTGGTGTTTAAATAGACTTCTTGTTGGGCCGATGAGCAAGCTTTTCAGTAAAATTATCCTAAACCAAAAGGTTATACATATGTCTAAGTGGTTTTTGTAGCAGAACTAATTAAAAATTGAACAAGGTGTAGCTATGCTTACTTTGATTACTGGGGCCAAGGAACCATGGTGACTGTCACTTCAGGTACTTACTACTTTATTCCTACTTTATTTTTTTCTAATGTTGGGCTAGTTCCCAGTTCATAGATATTGATTGTCAGGGGCTAACTATGCAGAAATATTGGTTTAACTGCAATTTCACTAAAATTGAGAAATATAGGATGAGGTGAATTTTGTAGAAATTCCACAGAGCTCTTATTTGGTGCAAAATCATTGTCTGTTATCCAATTAAATAAGTTTAAGAATTGAATCTGTCTGTCTGTCTGTCTATCTATCTATCTATCTATCTATCTATCTATCTATCTATCTATCTCTGATTAACTGTCTGACTATCTGTCTGTCTATCTATTTCTCTGTCTGTCTTTCTATTTACTCCAATTGAAGAAACATGCCATTCTCTATGCATGGTAATTTTCTCAACGGGAGGCACTGACTAGGTTTTTACTCATATTTACCCACTGACAAGGTTTTTACTCATATAGTCAGATTAATTTATGGGATTATTACAGTTAACTAGATTATTGAGGCTAATGAATTCCAGTAATTGCAACTTCAAGTGAAGTTTTTCTATTATATTTTTCACATGGATGTCATGATTGAAAATGAGGTTTGCCGCTGTGGTAATGCAAGAGAAGCAAAAAGAAATATATTTCATTTTTTAATTAAAGAGAAAGAAAGTAGAATTGTAAATATGAATATAAGGCAGAAAAGAGGTGAAATGGGGAATGGAAAAAACAACAACAAGGCAGTTGTAACATCTGAGGCCCGGAGATTTGGGACAAAGGTAGTTTTTGCAAAGCTGTAATGGAATATAAATTACTGTGACTATGCTTTTGATATCTGGGGATCAGGAACTGCTGTAACAGTATCTAATGGTAAGTTGAATTAGTTTTTGTTGTTGTTTTCTTTAAGGATTTTGTGGGATTTTTCTCTATTTTCTGTTGTTTTTTAAATGATAACCTATCTATTTCAAAATGTCTTTGAATGACCCTTTGCATTGGTGCTATTGAAAAATCATCCATGCTAAATTAAATGTCTTATTCACAAATCCATCCAGAACATGATTCTAAGAGGGTTTCAGATTATTATTATTTTTTAAAAAAATGTACTTCTAAATTCAGATATTAAGGGATCAAATGTTTGGGCTTGTTTGTTGCAAGCAGAAGTATAATAAGCAATAGAGACAGTAGAGACACTGAAAATTCAGATATTTTATACATCTCCAAATCTAAATTTAAAAAGTCTGAAATTGTTTTGGTTAGAAACTCAGGGATTTTTTCCTTTAGTAATTTGTCCAAAGGAAATTTCTGCCTTCTTAAGATATTTGGTGTATTTTTTGGGTGGGGGGGAACTACTGTAAATTTGATCTAAGCCGCTTTCCATAGACTGGAATGGACAAAACAATTCTTCGTTCAGTTTTTGTACATGGTTTATATTTAACTGTCTTGATGTGATTACTTCTATTACTGGGGCAAAGGAACAATGGTGACCGTCACCTCAGGTATGAATTTTTTCATTCTTTCTACCTCTTCCATCTGCTATTAATTTGGGTTTGTTTGTTTTTTTGCCTTTTGGCTTTAATTCTCTAAATGATATTAAAGTATTATCTGAATATAAATCATCTTACTGGGAAGCCCATTCTGGAGCAGTGATTTCTCAAGTAACGTCTTTGCCGTGACCATTTACATTTTTGCTATTCCTAAAAAAAAAGAGTAATTGATTCTCTAGATATTCTCTCTATATAAATTTCAACATTAAGGCATCAAACAGTCGAGCTTGTCCATTGCGACCCAAAATATAATAAGCCATTTAAAGGATATTTTTCTTTGGAGGTTTATAAAGTGAGTCAATTTTTGTCATGGTCTGCTAAGGACAATTTGATTCCTTAAGTTTTTGTACATGGATTGTATCTGGTTGACTTGATGTGATGACTTGGATTACTGGGGAAAAGGAACCATGGTCACAGTCAGCTCAGGTATGATGTTTTTCATTCTTTTTACCTCTTTCATCTGTTATTAATTTGGATTTTTTCCCCCTTTGGCTTTAATTCTCTAAATGGCATTCAAACTTTTGTCTGTGGCACTTTTAGAATTCTGACATATAAGCCTTCTTATTGGAAAGAACATTTTGAAAATGGAGATAGTGACCTCTTCATTAATGTCTTTGCATGAGGTGGGGGGTTTTTGCTATTCCTGACAAAAAAAAATGATTCTCTAGTCTAAATTACATTTCTGATTTACAAATCCATCCAGAACATGCTTCAAATAGGATTTTGGTCTATGGAGAGGATTTTTTTTTTTTATTGTAAAAAAATGTTCTTCTAAATTTAAACAATGGCATCAAGTAGTCAAGTTTCCTCATTGTGGCCAAAACTATAATAAGCAACAATGACACATAAAATCCAAAGATTTTATCCATCTCCAGATCTAAGTAACGAAGCCCAGAATCATTTTGCCATAATATATTTTTTTGTCTTAAGATACTAAGAACCTCATGGATTTATTTATTTTTTAAGAATTTGCTGAGTTCTCAGCAATTTATATATCATGTCTATCTTTTTAAACTATTTGAAGGGTATTTCATGTGGCGCTTCTATAAAATAGGGCTTAGCCACTTTAAAGAACAAAATCATTCCACATTAAGTTTTTGTATGTGGTTTGAACTTGGTTGACTTGATGTGACTACTTCGAGTACTGGGGTAAAGGAACGTCCGTCGTAGTCACCTCAGGTATGTTTTTATCATTCTTTCTACCTCTTGTGTTACTAATTTGCAGTTTTTCCCCCCTTTTTCCTTCAATTTTCAAAATGACATTTTGTCTATGGCATTGTCAATGTTCTTAGATATAAGCAACCCTATTGGGAAATACATTCTGGAAATAGCGAAGGTTTTTTATCTTTGAATGACTATTCACTATTTTTGTTTTTTCCTTACATATAAGTTTCTCTAGGCTCAGTTAAATTTTTTCTTTGTAAATTCAGAACATGCTTTCAATAGGACTTTAAGAGAAAACTGTTCTTCTGAATTTAGACATTAAGGGATCAAAAAAATCGAGTTTATCCTTTGCAATCAAAAATATAATAAGAAACAGTGTCACCCAATAGCCAATTATCTTATGCATCTCCAGATATAACCAAGTCTAGAATCTTTCTGCCACAATATACATTTTTGTCTTTAGGTTTTTTTTTGCTTCAGTAATCTAATTAGTCCCCAGCAGTCTATATGTAGTTTCTATCTTTTTAAGCCATTCAAAATATTATTTTTTTGTCTATAAATTTAGGTTAAGTCACTTATTCATGGTCTGGAAAGACAAAATAATTCCTCATTAGGTTTTTGTATATAGTTTGCATTTGGTTGACCTGATGTGACTACTTTGACATTTGGGGTAAAGGAACAAGTGTCGTAGTCACCTCAGGTAAGATTTTATAATTCTTTCTACCTCTAATATCCGTTATTACTTTGGATTTTTTTTCTTTTTGTGCTTTAATTTTCTAAGTGATGTTAAAATTTTGTCTGTGGGACTGTTAAAGTTCTGGAACATAAGCAATCCCAGAATCTCATTCTTCCGACAGGGTGAGCTATTAATTTCAGGAAAATCAAGTGTAAATTAAAATAACCCAACTGCCCGTTTGACAGAAATCTGTACTTCAGCGAAATGGACAGAAAATTGGTTATGAAGTTGCAAACATGCAATATGAGTTCCCCCTAGAAAAAAAAAATCAGTATTTTTATGTTTCTCAGTCACTTTTAGGCTGATGTTTTAAATAGGTTTGAAAAGAAACTGCAGAATAAATGTTTTTAGAGAATTGTTTGACACTTAATGACTTTAAAGTAATTAAGGAATGAATATATATATATATACACATACACATACACATTCATACAAAGTAAGGTTAAGGTTTGGCTCCTAATAGTCAAGCTTCTTGTATGATTACCCCATGACTATTGTTCATTGTGACAACTGGTTTGACTATTGGGGAAAAGGCACTTCAGTCACCGTTACTGCAGGTAAAAACTATTCTTTTTTAAGATATTCTTTTTGTGAGTTTTTCTTTGTGATTTTAATGTAGTTTTGTTGGATTCACTAGAATCCATTCTTGGAAGAACTGAATTTGTACAGCAAAAATCAAAACGATGGTTTCTCCTTTTGTTTGTCTACTCTGTTTTCTCTCTCCCTTTTCTTCTAAAATGCCATTTTATCATTTCTGGGTTACTTGAAAGAATTTAGGAAAACTGATACGAACAAAATTACACCCCCCAAAAAAAAAATTTTTTTAGTTTGCACGATCTGGGAATAGAGAAGAAAGTTATCCTATTGAAATTTTATTAGGTTTGTTCTAAAAGATGAGAGGAGACAACACAATTTTACTTGACATGAAAAAGGATTTACTTAATTTTATTCCAGTCCAGTTCTCAGTGATTGTGAAGAGTTAAAAATATATTTCACAGAGAGTTATGTTAATGTATGTTTCAATACTGGAGACATAGAATCTTAGTCACCATTACCACAGGTAAATCTAATTTTTTTCTGAATCATATATGTGTCTTATATGTATGAGGACTTTTACTAATTTGGAAGGGTTTTGCCTCTGTTGAAAAAACCCATTTTCTCAATTTTTTAATTTCTGAAATATTTCAACCAAAAGATGAAAAATGTCACATATCCAGCGGTAGAAATGAAATTGTTTGTTCCTTCCTCTTTTCTTTTATCACACCTTTATTTTATTTTATTTATTTATTTGTTTGTCAAACATGTACACGATAACAAGTATAGATATGAACCTTAAATATATCATTTACAAAGCATAAATCTGTCTCTCTATTGAATTGTTGCCTGTCTTCTATTGGCGGCTATTTCTATAACTTTTGTCTTCCATTATTTTAATTCTTCAATTCTTTAATTTTATTACTATGGAAAATGAAAAAAAGAGTCTTATGGCGCTTTAAAGACTTAAATAAATGGCCTTTTGTTACAACCTGTTTCATGCAATATACCAGATAGTTAAAGTTTTTTAATGTATTGATGGATTCTCTCTCTTATCGCTATCTTCGGTTACTTTTTTCTTATTATATACTTTTATTATTTTATTTCTTGATCTTTATGGGATTTATCATTTACTCATTATGAGATTGATTTCTAGCTCTGAATTATGTTTTGGGGGAGTCCAGCACAGATTCCCATTTGAATTAAGCAGAAGTAAAATTATGAATGAATTGCCTTTAAACAGACTGAAGTTAGAAAGAGGGATAAAATACTGGTTAGATAAAATAAAAAATAGAAAATGTGTATGATTAAAAAAAATAGAATTAATGTGTTTATTTGCAGTTGGGAGGTTGTGGGGGAGGAGAGTTGAAACTAAAACAGTTGGACAGAAAACAGAATATTTTGAGATGTTCAGAGAGCAGGTGGTGATAGATTCGTTTCTCAGTTTTAGTATATTTTAAGACTCAAGTTTCATCTGAAAGTGTTTGGGGCTTCTAAAATAATTCTGGATGTCTGAAAATAGCCCTAAGTGTTTCGAAAACAACATATGTTTTTTTCGGATCCTCCTCCCTTTTTCCAAAAATAAATGTGATTTATCATGTTTTAATTTTATCAAGGAAAAAAAAGTTAAGGTCTTTCCTTAGGCATTTGTTTTTGCTGGCACCCTACAGTTTCTGCACATTTTTCTTCTAGAAACCACACACTAAAATGGTAAGGAAAAACAGAATTGTTTATATTGATTCAGCTTTAATAATCACACATTTTCTACTTGTTTACTATGACAATCTCTTTTATTTAATTAATATGCCTTAACATTACTTAATTGATTACTATAGCAATATATTTTAATTATGTTTCTATTTTTTACAAGTGGAGTATTTCTTAATAATTTTGCACTAAGCTTGTTATTGAAGTGTTGATTGTTTTATTATTTTTAAATGAATTACTCATGAGGGAAATTGTTGATTTGATTGGGGTGATTTTTTTAAGAAAAGAATGACTTTGTGGCATGAATCAGGATTGTTCTTTTTTTAGGGGCAAGTGTTTCTCCCAAAGTAACTAAGAAAGTTGTTCTTCAATTTTCTAATTGGAAAAAAAAACTTTATTTTATTTTTATTTGGGATTGTTCTGTTCTTATCCTCTACGGCAGAGTTTCAATTTATTTTATCTTGGTGGAGTATAATAATTACTGTTATTTGAAATTTCCATCTTTCTTGTTCTGAGTGATTGATTTTAAGAAAGGACTGGTCATTTTGGAATTTTGTTCAAGAAAAGGTATTATTTTACTAGTCTTAATTCATATGGTATAGACTGCGGGGAGCTTAGTACGTGGCAAATTAATATTCCTATTTAGTTAACATTTATTATTTATGAAGTAGAAATGGCAGTTTATTAAAATGTTTCTAAGGGTGATATTTATTTAGAAGATGGTTGATTGATTGATAAGCAGATATTCTTTTCACTGCACAATTGGTAGCCCTGTTCAGCATCTTAACTCCCAAACATTTGGGGTGCTCTGACTATCCCAGAGTTTTCCCATCCAATGTATCTCTAAAGCTTAGCCAGAAAGAAGCACTGCAGATGCTGTCTTCCATATCATTAGTCTTCCCAACCCCTGTAGCTTTAGCTATATCCGAGGTAATAATAGCTCAGGTGGGAAGAATCTCTCTGAGCGTCCCTGAAACATGTTTTCCACTTTTGAAAAGATGTTTGGCTTCCTACTCAACTATGCCTTTGAGCATAACTGGAAAAGCCCTGGATTTCAGAAGCTAGCTTGCAGGAGAGCTTCATATTTCTCAGCTCCAGGATAGCTCTAACAACCTTCAGCTAGAAAGCAGCTGGAGAACCTTAAGCTGTAGCTTTGGAAGGGTAGAGGCAGCTTTTTTTTTTGGCTTAGCTTCTTGAAACCCATCTCCTTAGCTTTCCTCATAGTCAGCTAGAGCTGAGATGAAAGGACTCTCCAAAGCTAGGTGCTCGCCTAGAGCACACAAAAGGTTTAGCTTAAGGCAAGGGTCTTCAAACTTGGCAAATTTAAGACTTGTGGACTTCAACTCCCAGAATTCCTGAGCTAACATGACTGGAGGAGGAATTCTGGAAGTTGAAGTCTACAAGTCTTAAAGCTGCCAAGTTTGAAGACCCCCTAGCTGCTAGGGGTATTGGGAGTGCTTTCTCCAAAACCAGCTTTCTTCTTAGCTTCCCTGAAGGCCAGCTAGAGCTGAGATAAAAAGGATCTCCAAAGCCAGATGCTCACCTAGATAAAATATAATATTAAGCTAAAGCTAGGAGCACTTTCTCCAAAACCAGCTTTCTCCTTAGCTTCCCTGAAGGCTAGCTAGAGTCGAGATCAAATGGATCTCCAAAGCTAGGTGCTCACCTAGATAAAATATAAGGTTCAGCTAAAGCTAGGAGCACTTTCTCCAAAATCAGCTGCGTAGGTTTTGGAGAAACCAGTGCTGACTGCCATAAGTGCTCAGTGATGGAAGCTCAAGCTCTTTGAAGGAAGAAGCTCCTAGCTTGTAAAATGCTGAGCTAGGATGCTAGCTTTCCTAGCTGTAATATTTTTTACAGCAATAGCTAGGGCAGGGATCACCAGGTGTCATAAGATGCCTTTCTATAGCCCCCTTACTCTCTGCTGAGAAACAGCTTGGTATAAAAAAAAACAACAGGTAAAAGTATCAGCTAGCTTCCCTGAATCCCACAGTATGGCTAGGAGTTCATTCGTATTTCAGGTGCAAAAGGCACCTGAATGGCACCTGAAGGGAGGAGTGTACCGCCAAGCCTAGTACTTAGCTAGGGACCAGATGAATGCTTTCCCTCCTTAGCTCTGGGCTTAGAAATTCTCAGAAACCAACCCCTGAGCTAGGAGCATATGGTTGCTAAGCTTTCAAAAACTACAGAGATGGCATCTCCTTAAAGCTAAAGGCTTGGCCAGGTCAAAGTTGCTTTGTTCCTCTATTGAGAATTGGCTTAAACAACCATGGGCAAATTCTCTGTAGTTTCTCTGAAAGCTTGTATTGGGTTTGGGGGCATCCTGCACCTGAAATTTACTGCCGGGGTTAGCTGGGATAGTGGGGTGCTAGGAAAGCCATAAATCTTTCCTACTGATCCCAGTGCTAGCTAGGAGGAAAAAGCAAGCTAAGGTTATCCCATAAGTGAGAGAATCCATGAGGGCAGAGAGGTGTTTGGAGGAAATGATAGCTTTCTGTGAAAACTGCCATTCAATGCCTGTCTATCTTTCAATGGCAGAGGTAGCAAGGGCAGTGGCAATAGCTAGCCCCCCAAAAAACCTGAGAGAGTTCCCCATTTAGTGGTGGGTTTAACCATGATGGGGATATAGAATGTAGAATGTCTAAAGCTCACCAATCAGCTTGGAAAGCTGTGATCTTTTGAAAGCTGCAGTTTCAGGAGAAATTGAACTGGGATTGCTAGCAAGCTTACAGCTCCCCACCCCACCCCCACCCCGCAAAAAAGTTTCTTGCTAAGCGTAGCATGATGCGGGAAAGTTTCTAGTATCTCACCAGCTCATTGGAAGCCCAGTGCCAGTTGAGCTGTATGGGAATTTTTGGATCCGGTGTAAGGTAGCTAGAGTCGAGCTAAAGCTTTCTAAAGACCAGTGCTTGGTTAGAGAAAAGCTCTTTTGTTCTCTGATGTTGGAATTCAAGGTGGTCAGGATTCTGGCAGGAGCTTTTGCTAAGATGTTGAAGCCTTTCAGTCCTGGAATTGTTTGGAGTTATAAAAAGTTAAAGCTTGGACAGGGAGCTCAACCAAAATATTCCTTATGGTCTCCGAAGCCAGAGCTCAGCGGGTATCCAAGTGATTTAGGGTTCTGCAAATTATAGGAATTACTCCAGGCAAGACTCCAAGACTCTTTTTCCCTATCCTAAAACTTGTGGCTGTTCTAGGAGATAACTCTATGGCTTTGGAGAAAAAGAGCTAATTACTCCCAAGTCTCCCATAGAGTTTGCAAGGAGTGTGTGAGCTTCTTAGCTTAGACTCTCGAGCGTTGGAGGAAAGCCGTGAGCAATTTTTCTGCCTCTCTTTCCTTTATTAAGGTATAGTATCCACTTGGATATGTGCAACCCTTCATTTTAACCTTGAGGTTGCTCCAAAGCTCTGGTTGGAAAAGTAGTTTGTGAGAGTTGGATAAGATACAGCAAGCTTTCCAGCTTTCTAAAAATCAAGCCTAGCTAGGAGAACAAAAAGGTTGCCAGCTGTATCTTGGATTTAGCAGCAGAGTAGAATTTGGTATGAGTTATGGGAGGGGGACTTTGGGGGAATAGCTGCCTTTCCTCAGCTAGGTAGATGATTTGACTTGGTCAATTATGCATGGTCAGGAAAAATCAGCTAGGTTTTTCCCCACCTGGTTTCTTGGAACAGTGTTACTCAACCTCATCCACTTTCCTCATGTGGCTAAGGAATTCTAGAAGTTGAAGTCCACATATCTTAAAGTGGATGAGTTTGACAAACTCTGTTCTAGAAAGTCACTACTCATTAGCTCAAGCTTTGGAGGATTCCGGTGGACAGGATACTATGATTTTGCCATTCAGTTGTAAATTATATGATTTTTTTTCTGAGCTACAGCTCTGGAGACACAGACAGAGAGCAATTGGGCTTTCCTTCTGAAATGCGAGTTAAGATGCATGAAAAGTTCTAGCAGTAGGTCAGCTGCAGAAAGGAAAAAAATAACAGAGTTGAAAGGGACCTTGGAGGTCTTCTAGTCCAACCCCAATAAGCCAAGCTCCCAATAAATCAGAGAAACAGCTGCTGGGCTGGTTACTTCAATAATGGTTACTTTAAAGTACAGTCAGATTCAGACCGAGACAAATTTTTCCCTTCCTGATTTTGGCATACAAAGTATTCTTTTTAAAAAATGGAACTAGACCAGTCTGGATGGAGAGGAAAAATGAGTGGATCACCTTTTGAGAGGGAGAAGAATCAGTTTTTATCCTGGTCACTGAGAAAGTTTTAGCCCTGCTTGATCTCCAAATTTAAAGAAGCATAACTGGATCCCACTAACACTGCACAATGCACAGAAGCTTTCAGTAGGTGACAAATACAGTTGAATTGTATTAGTATCTCAAAAAGAGCTTTGCTCAAAGGCTGGTGAGCTTTCTCCTCAGTTCTTCCACTTCCCGTAGAATAATATGCTTATATCAATTTAGTAAGGGGGAGAAGAGACTCATAAGAATCTAAAGCAAGGGTCTTTAAACTTGGCAAGTTTAAGACTTGTGGACTTCAACTCCCAGAATTCCTGAGCTAACATGACTGGAGGAGGAATTCTGGGAGTTGAAGTCCACAAGTCTTAAAGCTGTAAAGTTTGAAGACCCCTGATCTAAAACATGTCTCCAGAAGTACTTCAGATCCTCAGCCTAACTTGGGAGGTATAAGCAGGTCCGGTTATTATGCTAGAATACATTTGGTAGAATTCAGTTTGGTACAGTGGTGAAGTTGCTGATCTAGAAACCAGGACATTGTGAGTTCTGGGGCATGAAAGCTGGCTGGCTGGACTTTCTGTTGGTCACTGACAGGGTTGTTGCCATGAGGGAAATAGGAGAAAGAGGCATGGGAGAATGAGGCATGTTCACTTGTGTGTGTGTGTGTGTGTGTTTCTAAGCAAGAAATCAGGAGAGTTGACAGAATTGGAGCCTAAAGCATAGCCTATAAGAATCCAACGAGAGAACTCCACTTACACAGGAAAATCTGAAACTTTTCTGAAGTTCTGTAAGTTTCTGTGGGAGTATCCTTGAGAGAAAGAGGAGGACAAAGGGGAGAGGGAGGCACCATGAGGAAGGCAATGGTCAACTAAGAGACATCTCAGCCCACAGAAAGGTGGGTGGAAAGTATCTCAGAAGAGACCCTCCCTCATTCCCCAGAAACTAAAGGAAGGAAGGAGACTTCCTTGCAAGATTCAGTTACAGTAACATTACAATAAATGTAGTATTAGTACTCATGATACTGGTTTCTCATCTGGGCTATCTCAAATTTATCTGGCTGACCAAGATAAAGTTTGGCAACAAGGTCTCAGAGAAAAGTTTGAAATCTGCTTCATCTTTTTGAGAAGAAATGTTTGATTGCTTTGAAATCCCAGTGTGTAGCCTGAGGAGAGAGAAATTCTGCTTCTAGTTTTCTTCCCCAGACTCGGAAACATTTTGTCAGTTCCTCAGTGATCTCTGAGTAAATGCTATTTTACAAAACGTTCTAAAGGATTCCTCCTTTCTGGCACTATGGATAGAGATATGCAGGTGAGGTTTTGACCATTGTTACTTTCATGAATCTGAGAATGTGTTGTCTTTGAAAGAGATTCTAGACCTGTTAGAATTCTTCCAGTGGTGGGGCAATAAGAATTCAAAATATTTCCTCCATGAAGGAGATGGGCAGTTTCTAAATTTGAGATCTAACTATATAAGCTTTCACAAGGTTGCTCTCAGTGATTCCTATAACAATCGTAGAAAGTAGCCCCATTGATTAAAATATCCTATGACAAAGCTTGGCAAACCATGACTCTTAGGCCATGGGCAGCTAATGGTCAAAAGTTTGCACCTCACTTCATACTTCATAACCCTCCTATTTTAGCTCTCACGCAGGATGATTATATGAAGTTGGGATCCATATCAACTGTTAGAACTGGTAAGAAAATCAAGTGAGGCAAACCCTCAGTTTGGTTGCTTTCAATAACTTGAAGATATTTTATTTTTTATTTTATTTATTTGTTTGTTTGTCAAGCATGTATGAGAAAACAAGTGTGAACATAACATATAACCGTGTAAGTATAAACAGGTATAAATATATACATAATAAATGAGTACTAATAAATGGGAACAGTAGGACAGGGACAGTTGGCATGCTGGTGCACTTATGCACGCCCCCTTACAGATCTGTCAGGAATGGAACGAGGTCCACGGTAGACAGTTTAAGGTTAAAATTTTGGGGGTTTGAGGATGTAATAACAGAGTCAGGTAATGAGTTCTTGGCATTGACCACTCTGTTCCTGAAGTCATATTTTTTGCAATCGAGTTTGGAGTGGTTTACTTTGAGTTTGTATCTATTGTTTGCCCATATATTATTTTGGTTGAAGCTGAAGTAGTCATTGACAGGTAGAACATTGTAGCAGACAATTTTGTGTACTAAGCTTAGATCAGACTATAGGCAGCATAGTTCTAGGTTGTCCAGGTCCAAAATTTCCAGCCTGGTAGCATTGCGAGCAGAGGAGTGGAGTCCTCTTCTCATGAAATACCTCTGGACTTGCTCAATTGTATTAATGTCTGTTATACAGTGTGAATTCCAGGCAGATGAGCTGTATTCGAGAATTAGTCTGGCAAAGGTTTTGTATGCCCTGGTTTGCAGTACAGTGTTACCAGAGAAGAAGCTTTGCAAAATTAGGTTATGCTTTTTTGGCAATGCTTTTACAATGAGCTCTGGGGCTTAGATCTTTTGAAATGAGCCACTATCAATGAACCACATATCAATGTATCAATGAACCACATATGAACCATGTATCAATTATCAATGAACCATGTATGAACCACATATCAATGTATCAATGAACCACAATGTGCACTCTGCAAAAATCTGGTTAAATCGGGGAAAGTCTACATGAATATTTGTTCACCTTCTCTTCCTGCAAAAAGCAAGGCTCACCTCCTTTTGTGAGCTCAATCCCCGCTGAGCATGTAACAGCTTCCAAATCCGGCATCCTTCTCTTTTTCTTCTCCCTCAGAATCCCCAAAGGCCCCTTCTCTTTTCCCACTCATCCCATCTGGGGACAACTCAGAGACCATAGATATCACCATCGGATGTCTTGCCAAGAATTTTCTGCCAGATTCAATTGATTTCTCCTGGGATAACCAACGAAACCAGAGTATTGGCAACCAGAACTACATAAAATTTCCATCTATCTTGTCAAGTGGAACGTACACAGCAGTTTCTCAGGCTAAAGTCCCACGGAGTACATGGGATGAATTTCAATTGTTCTACTGCAAAGCCACTCACCCGCAGGGCAACAAAATAGTCCCGGTTGTTCGACAATGTAAGTAAAATTCCTTTATTCCATCAGCCATGTCACCCACAAGCATGTAGGAGACTTTCATAAGGTAGTCAATCAGAGGGCATTAGAAGCTAGACACAACGTGTGCTTGTAGAAAAGTTAGCCTTCTTCCTAAATCACTACACCTAATTTCCTTTGCTTAAAACAGATAATTAACAAAGTCTTATTCCAACCTGACATTTTCTACCCGGGTGATTATTTCTTCTGAATGACACATAGAGATACTTTCATTTCCCTTGAAAACCAATCTTCTGACTACAATTGAGGTTGGACATGGCTTCTTCTTGGCCATGGGAAATGAGTTCTCTGAATATGCTCTCACCAGTATGGGCTCACCTATGTTGGGCTCTAGGGATGAGCCTGGGGTCTGGAACTAAACCTGGCTCATCCTTGTTTCCTATAGATCCCTATTTTGAGACATTTAGGTAGAAATAGATATATTTCTCAGTTATGGGCTATAATCAAAGGCCAGCAGACTACTTAGTTTATCCAGTGGTTTTCTAGATAGAACTGAACACACAAGTCATTACTACAACTTCTGAATCTTCATTTACATTATGCTTTTAAGGTGTTGAATTTCCTTGGCCTAATCATCTGTCTTTCTTGCAATGTTCCAGATGAGAGACCAGTTGAACCTACAATGCTCATCCGTGCACCAATCCTTAATGCGTTTTCAAGTATCTACCTAAATTCCACTGTTACCTGTGAAGTTAGTGACCTCTGCTCTGGAAACGTTGCCATCCGTTGGCTTAAGGAGAAAAAAGAAATCACCACTGGCATCACCACCAGCAAACCCATCCCAAATGGTCATGGGGGATACACCATTAGCAGCAAAGTTGTCATCACCAAGGAAGACTGGGTTTCTGAAAAGGAGTTCACCTGTGAAGCAAGAAGAAAGGACAAACCTATCCTTTCAGAGACATTCAACTTGCTATCTTTCTGCAAAAGTAAGTGGGTTTTTCTTCAAGAATCAGAGTAAGATGGCCAGTTATGGAAAAATCCTTTCCTCAAATCCTCCTTTAGATTGAACACTGAGTTATTTAATTTTGGTGGTTCTGTTACCTTCTTCTGGAAACAGACAAACTCAGAGAGCCCTGAGAAATCCACATATTCATCCATGTTTTGATGTCAAGGCAGAGAATTCTCTTTTCTCTGACATGCCATGCTTAGAATTTGAACAAAGGAAATACATTCTCCTCGTTCATAATTGGCCAGGAAAAACAGAACAAAATAGTGTATCTAGCTACTGAACGTCAACATCCCTATTTCAAAGTTCATCATTGAGAGTCATTATTTATTTATTTTAAAAAACTTTCATGGATCCATACAAATCTACTGTGACAGATTCTGAAAACCCTATCAAAACTCTCAGAGATAAATCCAAAGAGAACATTTGTATATTTCTCAAAGATGAATAGCAGCAGGTCCCTGGTACATATTTTGTTTCCACCTGAATGTAGACTACACCCTGCATGACATAAATCAAATTCTTAACTACTCTTTAACACATTTTAATAATCAGAAGACAGCAATCTCACATAAGTGGCTCACAATATGCTTGTTGTTAAATATGGGAAAGGTAGAAAAAAATTGTACAATTTACTGATTTCTTGTTCAATGGAACACTGTTCTTATTCCCCCAGGAGATATCTGTTTAGATGTTACCGTGGAAACCATCCCCCCAGCTTTTGCTGATATATTCCAGACCAGCTCGGCCAACCTCACTTGCAAAATCTCCAACATCCCTGTTGATGCAGACTATTCAAAATTGAACGTCACCTGGACACGAGCATCAGACCAGAAGCAACTACACACTGTGATGACCAACTTCCCAAGCCAGAACAATGACATTTCCTATGTCAATGCTGTAGCCACAGTGTGTGCAACAGAATGGAAGAACGCTGAAACTTTTACCTGCAAAGTGACATTTGAAGGTGTACTTGTCAAGCCAATAGAAAAAACCCTGGTGAAGGAAAGTGGTAAGTTTCTAGTTGTGTTGATCCATGAAAAGGATTGGGAGGGGGGGTCATTCATTCCAGGAGGTTTCCAGTTGAATGAGATTAACACCTCATGGATTAAAAGCATTCTCTCCAGAGTAGGCATGAATCCTTAGTACATCCCTTAGGATACCCCCAAATTATCCTTTTCCAGTTGCCTAGATTGACATCCCCACGAATCCTATTCTTGATCTGATACTTGTGACTCTTCCTTAACTCCCATCGAGCACATGTCATGAGAATCCAGTTTCCACATTATGGTGGCCTACCAACATTCCCCCCCCACCCCAATTCCACTCTTCTTGTATAGAGACAAAGCACCTTCTCACCTTCCCCTAGGAAAAAAATTGCATACAACTTGAGACCACACAGATTGACAGACAGTATAAATGTAATTATACTCTGGCTGCATTGATCTTGATTGGCTCCTTTAGACAGCTGGGCAGCATGAACAAAGGCATCTAATTCTGGCCTAGTTATTCCACATGATCATTTCCCCCCTTTCTCTTGTCTACCTTAAATGGACCTGGGCTGTTTTCTGCCAAATGTGAACCTTCTACCTTTAAGCCAATGAACTAATCTTTGTTCTATGACAAAGAGAAATACCTTCAGCATTTAAGAGTGGTCTCACCTAGAAGCAGCTACACTTAAACATCATCATCATCATCATAGGTGGTATTCAGCAGGTTCTGACCAGTTCTGGAGAACCGGCAGCGGAAATTTTGAGTAGTTTGGAGAACTGGCAAATACCACCTCTGACTGGAGATTTTACAGTATCCTTCCCCTGCCATACCCAGTAAACCACGCCCACAGAACCAGTAATAAACATTTTTGAATCCCACTAAGTGATCATTATCTTTTAACGACCCCATAATCCCTTGTGGAGGTGGAGTCTGGGTGACTGAATGGAGCTAACAGAGTGTTTAACTGGCCAGGTGCCCTTCCTGTCATCAATGCCGGAGTGCGCAATACAGTTAAACATGATAATGCGTACTAAATACATGTATACTAATGTATCTTCACCCTTTTTCCTTTTCTCATTGTTCAGTTGGCGAACCAAAAGCTCCCTCTGTCTACGTCCTTCCACCTTCATTAGAAGAGCTGAATTTGCGGGAAACAGTTACCCTCACATGCCTCGTCAAAAACTTCAATCCCGGCAACTTCTTTGTACGATGGCTCCAGAATGAACAGCCAGTCAGTGAATCAGTATACTTCACCAGCAAAGCCATATTAGAGTCCAAAATACAATCCAAAGAGTATTTTGCCTACAGCATGCTGAACATCAATGAACAGGAATGGAGCGCAGGGGATTCCTTCACTTGTGTGGTGGGACATGAAGCCTTGCACTACAACTCAATTCAGAAGACTGTAAACAAGAACACGGGTAAACCATCCATAGTCAACGTCTCCTTAGTCCTCTCCGACACTTCCACCCCTTGCTATTAATTGTCAACCTAATTTCTTTTGAGAAACCTCCACTTACTCTATCTCCACTAGCCTCTGCTTCTTCTGCTTCATTGCTGATACTTCGATGGAAAGTTTTCGGTGATGAAGGCAGATCTCTAAGGAAGGAGGTGTCAGTGTTAAATCAGTAGCTCGCCACCTTTTTCTGAAGGAATTACATATTTTGCAATAAAGTATTTTTCTCAAAACAAAAAGAAAAAAAATAATCTGGCTTTTTGTGAGAAATAGTGATGATGCACAAACTAATACTGGAAATTCTGACTTCCTCAGGCACCTACATTCCTTAATCCTTTCGCATTTATTTCTTCGACCAATAATGCCTGTACTTCATCTCCTTCTATGGCATAACGGTCCTTGGAAAAAGGCTGTTTTAGAAAGCTGTCAGCTTCCCTTTTCTGTACTGTCATAGATTATCTACTCCCCACATAAATTCCCAGTTTGGGATTATTCATCTTTTCAGATCATGCCATTCTGTACAGGCGTATCCTCAGACCATTCACTTCCCTTTAATTTATTTTACAAGCAAGGAGATGTCTCATCCATTGGGTGTTATCTGGGGCAACAATTACATCCTTTGTACAAGACAAAGAAGCTCTTAAGAAAGTGTTTTATGAAAGTCTAAAGCATACTAAAATAATACCCCAACAGATCTTTAAACAGAGCATAGGAACTTAATATCCACAATAGGAACACAACTAAATAAATATTGAATACTATATCATGCATCTCAGGTTTCACTCAGCTAACACAGCTCCAGTTCCAAACAATTTGTACATTATTTTTTAGTTCTAAATAAAGTAAAAACTGTAAACACCAATTCAACAAAGAGGATACACAAACTAAAACAGCTTGGCCAAACAACATAAAACATGTGCTTCTATGGAAACTCATCATATGTGTATTCGTCAAATAGTAAATGCACAAAATAATAATGATGATGTTGTTTTGAAAGTCAGGGAATAACATTTGAGGTTTTCTGCAAAATCATCTAGTCCATTTCAACAATTCTCGGCACAGAGATGTTCTTCTATAAAAAGAGAAATAACAATGTTTTAAAAGAAGGCTGCCATTATTTGATTCATTGTGAATTTTTATAATCAAGACATTATTTAGAAGATCAAATACTTAGAACTTCAGGACAATAAAAGATTATCCTATGCATTAAAACAAGATCAAAAATTAAGGTTTGAAAATCCATGCAATTTAATTAAATTATCCATGGATACATAACTAATTTACAAATCGCAAACATCTATGAACACTCCTTCATTGTGTTAACCCAACTGAACATTCCAGCATCCTTAAGAAAAATATCACTGATTACTTTGTTTAGTCAACAGAGATGAAATGAACCCAAATTTGTTTTTTTTAAAAGCAATAAATAGTTTATACATTAAACAGACCTACAATAAGCTGCTTAAATTTTCCATACACCCTGAAAATTACCCATTGAATTTTTATTTTTTAAAAAAACATAACACTGACTTAGTTAATAAAAAAATACAATTTCCCTTTTTGTTTTTTTGAGCAAATGGAGATTTTCATAATGGGCAATCATGATCTTTACTCTTGTAAGCAGGTAAATGCTTCAAAACTTCATCAAGCAAATGCAACCAGCCTAAACTTCAGATTGATACTCTTCTGATGTACTCTTGTGCTTTGCTTAAAAATGTTCCAGACAAATTGTTCTCTGTGAGTTTTAAGAGTCCCAAACTGGCCACCATGCCAGAAAAGGCCAAAGAACTGTTGCTTCTCTTCAAAGAAGAACAGAAGAAAGAGAAGGTGTTGATGCCCAGGGCCAAAGTGCACATTGGAGACATGGTGATCCATGCCCTGAATGCTCTTTCTTCTCTCCCAACATATGAGAAAGAATATTGACAATAATATAACTGAGGAAAACCCTCAGCTGTTTCATTTGTATTTCATGAGGATGTACTCAAGGGAAGGACCAAAAATATTCAGTGCTACTATCGCCTTTTCCATCTATCCTACTCACCAAGGCTTCTTAGTAATGTTAAACCATGCACCATCAACCACAGCACTTGAAAAGACAAAATTCATCTTCACCCTCATCTTACAGCCAAATACTGGCCATCTTAAACTCAAAATCACATTAGGAAGACCCACCCATTTGAACTCCCAATAGCTTTGTATAGATGATAGTCCCCTTTAGTGTCCTTGCGGATCTGACCTAGTTACCTAACTAACCAGGTTTAGATTATTTTACCCAAAATAACAGAGTTGTTAGGATCCTAAGAGATCTTCTAGTCCAATGTTATAGGGGTTTGCTGTGTAGGCAGCACTATCCCTCACTAGCATTCATCTCCATGGTTCTGTGATATATTTCCTGCCTCTCTGGGATTTATCTCTATCTGCTCCTGTGAGGCACTTTCCTGTTCCTATTATACACACACACACTTCCAATGATGGTTTATGGCTTTTAACTGCATTTTGATTAAACTTGAAACATCCAACCCCCAGGAAACTTTATATACCATTTCAGACAAATGTTGTCCCATTTCTTCTTAAAAACCTTCAGTGTTGGAGGACCCACAATTTCTGGAGGCAAGACATGCCACTGATTAATTGTTCTAACTGACAAGACTGTTTATAGAGAGCACGCACATAAGTCTCTCTACTACTTCAGGAATCAGGAAATTTCTACTACTTCAGGAATCAGGAATTCAGAATGTACCAGTTTGCTCATACATTGGCATTCACCTATCTAGTTGGATGAAATAAAACATGCCAATGTGATGGAAAGGATAGAAGGCTGACTTTAAATACTGTAAACCACAAATTCAATTCTAACAAGCCACAAAACGTACTAGAGACTTCAATCAAAACAATTAGAATTGGACTACATATACTGATTGAAACCTCTTTGAAAGACTCAGATTCATTTTAAATTGGTGGCACATATTTTTTTAAAAAGCTCCCTTCCAATGACATCCAAAAAATGAGACATCTCTTTGACCCTAATTAGCGTGTTTTTCGCAACTGATATATTCTCAATCCTTCCAGAAATTGTAGCCAACCATAATTCACAATCTATGATTGCAAGTTGAAAGAAACAAATTGTATATTCCAGAAAGAGAAGTGTTATGTCATGTTTTGGAGGGTATCAAAGAGAGCATTCCATCAAATGGATTCAGAAAGCAAGCTTTGTATTGAATTCATCAAGAATTCATGAAATCATCCTTAAGAGTTCAGTTCTTCATGTTAATTGCACATGGTGATAAGCCAATATTGCACCACCTTGCCAACCCAAGGTGAAGATTTTAGATCAGTTTGAATTGATCCCGTCCCAACCTGTACAAACTTCCCACATCAACTTTCTTCCCACAAATCTGCAGGATCTTTTGACTTGTGCAGATGTGGTGGGTTGAATAATCCTTCAGCCAAGCAATAGTCATCACTCATTTGAAAACAGTCTTTAGAAGTCTGTAGTGAGTAGTCACAAAGGTGCTTTTTCAAAAGGCAACTGGACTGTATTCTCCTTGAAGATGTTTTGCTTCTCATCCAAGGGTCTTCTTCAGTTCTGACTAAATGAGAAGCGAAATGCCTTCAAGGAGAAATCAAAGAAAAGTTGCCTTTTGATAAAACATCTTTGGGACAACCATGACTTGGATGACTGAAAATCTCCTTAGACATCTGTAGAGGGTAGATCCCCCTTCCCTTTTTATTCCTTCTTTGGGATAGTCTGAAGAAAGGCCATCTCCTACCATGCCAAGGCTTCACTAAAAGAGCTCATCTCTTCTTTCTCTGTTAATTCCCCTCTGCTTTTCTCCACTATTATTTGCCATCGTCTGGCATTAGCTGTATTTTTGTGTATCGCATTTTCCCTGCTCTATAACATTTTCATGGCTCTTACATGCTACCCTTATCATATATGCTGTTTAGCGTCAATGCACCCTCACTTCTTTCTGAACTCTAGACCTTTATATGTTGTCCAAAGGTTACATAGGTGGAATTGTGGACTCAGAAGATGAAGAAGAATTCCAAAACCTCTCATCAATCCTTTCCACTTTCATCATTCTTTTCCTAGTGAGCCTCTTCTACAGTACCACGGTGACATTCATTAAGGTAAGACATGTAGACTAGAAACAGTAGACTATATGCAAGTAAGATGCCATTGATCATGTTTTCTAAATAGAGAATGGGTAGACTTTAACCTCCAGTCATATAGTTATCAATGTCCACTATTGGAATGGATCTATCTATCACTTATTAATAATATGGAGAGATATAATATATGATTAACAGAGTTGGAAGGGACCTTGTAGGTCATCTATTTCAATACCCTGCCCAAGCTGGAGACCCTATGACATTTCTGACAGATGGCAGTCCAGTCTCTTCTTTAAAGCTTCCAGTGATGAAGCTCCCACAACTTCTGTTCCATTGGTTGATTGTTCTCACTGTCAGAAAGTTTCTCTTTGTTTCCAGGTTGAATCTCTACTTGTTCAGTTTCCGTTCATTATTCCTTGTCTGGCCTTCAGTGCTTTGGAAAATAGCTTGACCCCCTTCCTCTCTGTGGCAGCCCCACAAATATTGGAAGACTGCTATCATGTGTCCCCTGGTCCTTCTCTTCACTAGACTAGCAATTTTGGCTGCCTGCTCTTCCATTAGAAAGTAGCATTGAAGGCAATAGCTTCCATTACTACTCAACTTATATCTGTTTATATTTTCCACTGTGTGGTTTTTATGCTCATCAATCTGCATTGCAGAAAAGATGAAAGCAAACATGTATTATCAACTTAATGAATGTATGTATATTAAAATTATCTCAGGGGCTGCCATAAAGAAGAGAGAGTCATGCTATTCTCCAAAGCACCCGAGGGTAGGACAAGAAACAATTGATGGAAACTAATCAAGGAGAGAAGCAACTTAGAACTAATGAAAAATTTATTGGCAGTTAGAACAATTATCTAGTGGAACAACTTATCTCCAGAAGTTGTGTGTGCTCCAACACTGGAAGATTTTAAGAAAAGATTGGATAACCATTTGTCTGAGGTGGTGTAGGGTTTCATGCCTAAGCAGGGGTTTGGACTGGAAGACTTCTGAGGTACCTTCCAACTCTGTTGTTCTATTGTATATGTATGTGTATATGTATATGTATTGCAATATCAAGCAATATTACAGATTGAGTTGAGAGCAGAAGGGATAAATCAATTACTAGA